CACAGGTAATGGGGAAAAAATGAGAACCAAGATACATCATGTACAGGTACAAGCACCCAATGATAAATGTAAATGTACTGTATACCTAAAATGTTCCAATAAAAGAATTTAAGCAAAAAATAAAAATAAAAATAAAATAAAAAAATAAAAAGTTATATAAAAAAACCCCAATCACTTCTAAAATAACATAAAAGGGAACAAAGAAAATGTTATACATAATAATCTCATGTAAAATTATTAGTTGTAATTGTAAAACTATAATTAATAGTTACATTAAGCCAAATGGTGTAAAATTTGGTAAGACAGACTATATCATATCATAGTAACTTATGCATAATATTAACCTTCCCCAAAATGATCTTAAAACAAATTTTCTTATTACCTAGTAGGAAGAGTAAGGAAAGTATACTTGGAATTATTGATAAATATGTATGCCTCTATAAGTTTTCACTGCATAAAATGGTGAAACATTGAAGATCACTAGTGAAAACATTTTTCACTTGTTCCTATATAAATTATTTGTATATTCTTCATCTTAATTCATTCAAATAACTAGTTTTCCGGGGGAGAAAAAAATCCACATAATACATACATAGGCTTTACTCATTTTAAACAAATTTTAGGTATTACACATATGCTGTGATATTGGAAGAGGACCAAAACAGATAATTTCCACAATCTCGCCCCTTCTGTATAGTAAAATATACAGCAAAGTACGTGAAGCATATCCCATGGATTCAAACAAAATATGAAATAAAATTTAAATATATTGTCAAGATAAGCTCTCCACATTCCTGTTCCTTATGTTAAAACATGCCAACCGGGTCGGGGATTTAGCTCAGTAGTTCCACCACCTGCCTCATAAGCGTAAGGACTCGAGTTCGATCCCCAGTACCAAAACAAAAAACAAAAAAAACCCATGCAATCAATTGCTGAACCTTGCTGACTTGTCTCAAATTCTACCTTAAAAAATTATCATTCTGAAACTCTGTATGATATTTAATACACTTGCTAATTATACTACACAAACCTTTAATAACATACCAAAAGGCAGTGTCATGAAGTCCCATTATCTTTAAAAATTCCTTTAACTTTTTTTCTTTTTCTGCTACAATATGAATTGCCAAGAAGTATCCAAAAGGTGAAAATGCTATAACCAGGTATATTAAAATCACTCCTCGGGGAAAGGTATCTATTTCTACAACAGCAGTTTCTCCCATAATAACAGCTCTAGTTGATTCCAGCTCCTTCCAAAGAGAAACATTCGTCTTCAACTATAATTAGAAAATATAAATACATTAAATGAATTTAGTTCTGAGTATCCCCTAATAAAATGTAACAATTATATCCCAAATTTATTCAATAACCTTATATAAATAAAATTCTTAAAAGCTATACACTTGAAATAAAGTGAGTAACCACAATAATCCTGATGCAAAGTAGAGTACTGCTTTTAATTCATTTTGGAAGTATACATAAAGTTTGAAATTGGTAAGTGTATAAATTTTAATTAATTTGTCAAAGAAAATAAAATTATCATCTTAAGCAGACAATTATATGCATCTTACCAAAAACATACCTCTTTAAAATTGAAGAGTTTAGGAATTACTAGTATCATTGTTGTATGACTATTTTTAAAAATTTCTTTTAAACATGCCTATTGTTTTAAAATGTGCACATGAAAACCAGATGTGGTGGAAAATGGCTGTAATCCCAGTCCTCAGGAGGCTGAGGCAGGAGGACTGCTACAAATTTCAGGCCAGCCTGGGCTAACTAGTGAGTTCAAGGCCAGCTTGAACTACATAATGAGACCCTGTCTTAAAAAAATAAAATAAAATAAATCTGCATATGAACTGAGTGTGGTGGTGCATGCCTGTAATCTCAACACTTAGGAGGCTAAGGCAGCACTTAAGAGGCTGAAGCAAGAGTATAGTGAGTCTGAGGCCAGTTACAGTAAGATACTGTCCTAAAAAAACAAAAATAGATAAACTTTACACTTGTAGCACATATGGCCAGAATAATAAAATTATGACGTATGATTAACATTCAAGTGAATTCCTAAACTGAGATTTGTCTTGCCTATTCATCCACTGCTACCTGGGATGTAGACGGCTAATGTCTTTGGACAAAACCCAAGTGGTATAACTATAGCAGAGTGATACAGCTCATATTTCATTATCTTTACTTTAAACGTCTGTTACCATTGAACTGGTATAATATTATATTTCCCTAATATATCTATACCCTGTTGCAAGAGATGATAAGAATTCTACATACACCACCTCGTTTGGTTCTTACAACAACGCTGTCAAGTAAAATATTATTCTAGTCATCTTACTCATAACATTCTAACAATAAAAATAAGTCTCCTGTTCAGATCGCGGTTCCAGTTCTAATACTATTCATATACTTTGAACATATACAGAGTCCACCAAAAGAATCTATACATACTTCAGGAGTTCGCCATATTAAGAAATGTCTGGAAGCTAATGGATGGCCACCACTTTAAACACCTCTTGTATTAATCTTGTAACCTGTATTAAACTCATGATGTCTCGATAAATTTAGTATTAAACTATTTATACAAGTTTTTCTTTACTTGATGTTTACATTGTTTTGGCAGACTCTATTTTAATAGAGAAGACAGCTGATGTCCATTTTTTAAATTACAATACTTTATAGGATAGTTAATTTCAACTGCAAAAGCAAACAGAAAAAACACAGGTCCATAGGGAACATGGAAAAATGAGATATGATTACCTCTAATATTTACGTTCGAAGAGAATTTCGTCTTATTGCTATCTGGCCCATCCACAAAATTTTAAGATTTTTTAAAAATAAATGAAATTTCTTGGCTAGATTTGTGCAAAATGTGGAACACTAGGTCTAGGCATCTCTTTAGAATTTAATTTACACATTTAGACAAAATGTATAGTACAAAGTATAGTATTAAAGCACAGACTTAGAGGAGTTAAAAAGCTGTAGTATGAACTGTTACTTTGCCACTAATAAATTGAATTTTGAAAAGTTATTTAATATCCCTATATTTAACAGCAGCAATCTCACAGGGGTATTAAACATTAAATGGGTTAATATCAGAACTTAAATTAAAAAGTTTTTATTAAACAAATGCATATCAAATAAAATATAAAATCTATTATGGAAAAGATAATAAAGTCACTTTCTTTAAAATAAATTATATTCAAGGGAAACATCTAAAAGTAGAAGTCTTTCATAAGTATTACCTATGGTTAGTAAATAAAAGTAGATGGATATATACTATGCTTGAATCCTATACCTAAGACGTGTAAATACTAAACAGTTTCTCTGGTGTGAGAAACTGAAAATGTAAATAAGGATCAAAAGGCATAATAGATAATGTGGAAAAAAAAAGAAAAGGTTCAAAGGGGAAGGGGAAATGGGAGGGACTGGGGAAAGGAAAGAAGGGAATGGAATTAATATGAGAAAAGGAAAAAGTGAAAACAAAGTCTTTGTAAATAGGGAGGGGTGGAGGGGTTCAAGGAAGGGCAGGGGAAGGGGGAAAAAATAAGAACCAAGATATATTATGTAAAGGTACAAATTTCCAATGATGAATGTTATTATATTATATACCTAAAATGCACCAATAAAATTTTTTAAAAACTATCAAATAAAAGTAGACTACAAAAAATATTAAATCAAAACCAGGCATGGTAGCACATGACTATAATCCCAACTACTTGAGAGGCTAACACAGGAAGTTAGCAAGTTCAAGCCCAGCCTTGGCAATTTAGTAGGATCTTGTTTAAAAATAAAAATATAAAGAGGGCCGGGAACGTAACTCAATGCAAAAGCTCTAGGTTCAATCTCTAGTATTGGAAAACAACAAAAAAAGGAAGAACACAGTTACATTAAAACATGGGGTCTAGTTTTCCTTCTTTATCATATTTACCTGTATAATAGCAGCATCTATGGATGCCTGTAAAACTGTGAACCCTGAGGACCAGTAATGAGCAGCCTCACACGATTTTGAACAGTCAGCTATGAGGAGAAAAATGTGAGACATAAAGATTTGTACACCAAATAAGTGCTTTCTTCTAAGATAACACAGACGGTTACCAAAGTAAAAATTAATCAATTTCTACAGGGCCAAAGAAAATATGTCATTGCCCTTCAAAAACAAATAAGAGCTATAAGATTCCTAATTGTTTATTTGAAATATTGAAATATAGCAGTTAAGTGTTAGGACACTAAGTGGTAAATGAATAAAAATATAAAAAGAAATTAATTATAAACATACCTATTAAAACAAGTCGCTTTGGACCAGGGATTTAGCTCAGTGGTTCCAGCACCTGCCTTGCAAGTGCAAGGTCCCAAGTTCGATCCCCAGTACCAAATAAATAAATAAATAAATAAAACAAGTCACTTCTATTTTAAACAAGTCATCCTGTGATGACTTTGTTTCAAAGAACCTCCAGATGCAAAGGCAAGTACAGAGTTAAAAAAAACAAACAACAAAAAAAAAACACTAAACAGAAGAATTTTCCATAAAAGCTTTTTGGAATCCAGTTACAAATTCAATATTTAGCATAGCATAGTAACTTTAACACTGGCTCAATAAACATTTATGGTTGATACTATCTCTTCATAGGTTTATACAAGTAAAGACTGACTTCCATTTTTCAAATGTAAAACTGGGAGACCTCAAGGTTTGGAAGATTTGTACTAGAGCATAAGTGAAAACAATCACATGAAGAAAAAAAACAGATTTAGGAAATTACATAATTCAAGATACAAGTCTGCTTTATTCTACTACAATTTATATATACTTAAGTGTATTAAAATTAAAATGGAGGGCTGGAGATTTATTTAGCTCAGTGGCACCACGCCTGTCTCGCAAGTGCAAGGTCCTGAGTTCGATCTCTGGTACCGGAAAAAATAAAGTGTAAAATGGGAGTTATATATAATAACTGACCCTACTTCAAATTTTGCACATGAATTTGAAGAAGCCGAGATATGCATTTAATTGACTTCAATAATTATTTAGGACTATTTACCTCTTGAATCCAAATAAATAGAAGATACTGGAATCTTATCAGGAAAAAAACGGAGTTCATAGGACATCAGGTCTTTGAAAACTACACCCACAAAGTTGCTGGATTTAGAAAGACTGGATGCTAGCATTTCTCTTTCATTTGTATATTCTTCAGTAATTATGACTATAAATATAACAATATAGTTAGATAACAAAACAGTTTACTATAATATAGTAGAATAATTTTATGATTACATTTGATCAACAAAATATTTTATAAGCACTTTTGTTTTACTGTAAGTAATTTTGTTTTACTCTCTAATTTCTTAGAAAATATCTCTTCTAAGAAAATAACAGTAGGAATGTGAGGCCAATCTGGCTATGACATCTGTCACCCTGTCGCCACAGTTGATTCGGCTGATCTGGCTGGCTAGGTGGGTGTCCCTTTCCTCCTTCACCACTTTATGTGTGTCCCTCCTGGAGCTGCATGCTCAGTGGAAGAGCACGACCACCCCTGATAGAGGAAGACCATTTCCTTGGTCAAGCATATACAAGCGGCTATACTCCCCTACTAGAACCTCCAAACAAGCTCTCAAGAAAATATGGCCACATAGTGAATGAAATAATTTAACTTTACAGATCCTAAGCTGTCAAACGATTACTAAATCAGTGTAATATGTTACGAATATGACAAAGCATAGTGTAAAATAATATGTAAAATCATTTCATCAAGAAGAGCTCACTATTTCTCAGAACCTCAATGAACTGTACTAAAGTTTAATACTGAATAGTTTTCATATCATCTCAATTCTTAAAAATCCACTGACTGGCAGGCTTACTTTAGACACTGGTAAATTTAAGATTTTAGCCAGTAATGAGGTTATCAAAACAGTAAGTAATGTAGTTCATTCATCTACTGCAAAGTGAAATTATTAACTCCTAGATAAATGAATGGATATTTTATTTTCAAATATTTGTTTTTATGAAGATAATTCCTTAATCCTTCTCAGAAATATGTATTTTAGTAACTGATGCAATTCTTCTTTGAATAAAAAGCCAGTTAAACCTGATACTGTTTATTACTTTCTTAGAAGATAAATGATGAAAATACTGTAATTACCCTTTCACATTAGGTAAGACAATTTTTTAAATACTTTCTTGCAGTTTTATTTATAAGCTAACTAAAAACACTCCACAATATGTGGTTAAAAAAAAAGAATACAGGATCGATACCTAACTTCATCGTTTATTAGGTGTGTGACAACCAATAAGTGATTTAACTCTCCAAATTTTAATGTTTTCGTCCGTAATATCTAGCTAATTACCCTGGGTTCAACTGATAAGGACCAAGTAAAGCAACAAACATGGAAATGTTTTGTAAATTACAAAGTATTATTTAAATGTTCATCAACATAATCTTCTATGCCTTTAAATAGTCATGGAACTCCAGGATTGATATGAATAAACAAGGCGTTAGTTCAGCATCCTATCAGTCATGTTATCATGTATGTTATGATGTATGTATGTAATTCTATTATTAAAAAATAAAACTTTAAAATATAGATAGATATGAATTTGTGAAGTTAATATACATCGACTTCATTCTCCTACTCAGAATTACTGATGAATTTCATTCTCAACATTTCTGATCAATTGTTTTGAGCTTGCAATGTTAAATTCTTATGGCTATTCATGCTATTTGTGCTTAATATAATAGGCCAACAAACATGTAAGATAAATAATAAGATATAAGTTTGATAAAAATATCAAACAGTACAATCGGTAAAAAGTTATTTGGCTCTAGACTATGTAACTAACATCATCCAGTGATCCACTATCTAATAATATAATGATATATACTAGAAGCTGATTATAACTGTCCTATATGATATAAAACAACATGCTTATAATTCACCATTTCATTGCTTAGTCATACATGTCTATCATTCTCTCTGGTTCTTCCTTTAGGTTTTCTCACAGCCTCTTAAAACTCACTAGAGTGAAGTATACATGATGGAAAAGAAATCTAGGTATATAGTCACAATCATGGTCTCCAAAGTTAAGCATCTCAGTTTATATCATGTATCTCCATAAATACGCATGGCAATCTAAAAAGATTCCTGCTTTATAATCTTTATCATACATTTCTACTTCTTTATTATAAGTCAGAGTCAAAATGAAATACTCCTTCAAATCTTTTATACTACACAAACTAATTATTTTATAAACAGTGCAAGAATCAATGAAAATATACATGTACTGCCAGGGATATAAATTAGTATTTCACAAAGAATATAAGGCAACAGAATTAAATGATTTTAATATTTTTGCAAAATTATATGTTGGTATATGTTGGAAAACACATATCTGGGTGTTAAGGATGTTACTCAGTAAAACAAGCCACTAAGTATTGAAGGGGCTACATGTTATAGATATAAAACATATATAAGAACACAATACCATCAGAAAGGTAGTCAGTAGATACTATCTGCATGATGTTGCTTGTAATATTAGTCACTGGCGTATATCCAAGAACTAAGTCAGAGAGAATAGATTTATCCATTGGAGGAAGTTCTCTATCAGGCACTTCTTCATATTTCTTATTTGGATGCATCATGCTAATTAATATTAGCCAAAATAAAAAAAATAGTGGAAAAAGAATTTCCTATAATAAAAGAAACAAAATGATTACAAAGTATGACATTGGCAGCAAAAGCATGATTTCTATGCAAATCATATATTAAGAAAACATAAGAAAAAATTGGTTATTCTTTCTTCTGTACAAAAAGTAATTCGATCCAAAAGAATTTCTGTGTTAAGCATTTCACGAAGCCCAAAAGGCATATCAGATGATTTTTCCTCTATATTATTTTACTGAAATATTTTAAAACTCAAGAACATAATAAATTAAAGTGACATAAAAGGTGACCTATAAACAACTTAGATCACTGACATAAAATTAATTTATTCATATTTTATTTAAAGTAACTTACCAAATATCCCTATTAGGATCACCATAAAAGTGTCTTATTTGATTCTAAATTGTAAATTATGCCTTAATTATACCTCAATTATACTACTAAAACTGTATTAAAATTCTATGGTTAGCTTTAATACAAATGAACTATTATTTCATCTTGCTATTCATACACTGGTTTCAGGAGAAGATAAACAATATACGTCCATCCTTTCAAAGTATTACTATCTGGGTAGCCAGAGTTCTTTTTTGACAAAAAGTAATGTATGTTGGGGAATAAATCTATGATACATGGTAGTTTTAATTATTCTTGGGGCAACTCACTCTAGAGTCCATGAAATAGAAGTTTTATGTGAAAAAGTTTATGAATGCTAAGAATTTCATCCCTAAGGCTCAAAATTAAGTACTGCTGTTAGAAAACTAAATTTAATAATCATTATTAAGTGTTAACATTTAGAAGCATGAAGTTATTCAGTTATTTTCCTGTGGCTAACACAATACAACAAGCTTTTACTTTACAAGAAAATTAAAGAGAACAGAGAAAATAAAATTATAACAAAAAATGCATCCAGCAAAATCGTCTTTTACAAATAGAATGTGTGAAAGCTAAGTAAATGGCAACAAAACATAAAAAGAGTATTTTCACTTACTTGAACACTGCTTTTTTTAGTCCTGCATTTAACTAGGTAATTCTTCAGTAGCAATGTTCTAGTCTGTCTCCAAACTCCCACCTCCCTAATTGCAGTGGCCATGTTTCCGTCATTAGCCTATTAAAGAGGAAAAACCAAATGAAACAAATTAACCTTGAACCACAAAGTAAAAATACACTTTCATTGAAAAAAATCCTCTTTGGGGCCCAGGTAGATGAAGTTACTCATGCTTTGTGCTGTCTTTGCTGCCTAGCCAGAATTCATGGAACAGCAATTTGAGGACACTGAAAAGCAAGTAATAAGCTGGGTGTGGCCAGTACCCTGGGAAGCTGAGGCAGGAGATGAGTTTGAACCCAGTCTGGGCAACTGAGTCATTTAGAAAGAACCTGTTTCAAAATAAAAAATGACTGAGGATGTAGCTTAGTGTGAAGGCCCTAGACTCACTTCAATCCCCAGTACTGCAAAAATAAATTAGTAAATAAAATTTTAAAAGTAAATGGCTGAAACTAAGGGAGTGAAGAACACCAGAACTCCAGAACTTCAAAGCCAGCTGGGAGCTTATCACTTCTGCTTACTACTTTTTTCCCTTTGGTATTCCCCAAATTGAATACATGACAAGTGAGGTCAAGGTCACAGAGAGAGCACCAGGAGGAATGGGAAGAATTAATCTCTGCATTCTACACTGAAAGGGCAGCTTGGGGAGATTCAGAAAAGGTCCTCTTAAACCTTCTTCCAGAGCAATTAGTGCTGCCCGGTTTTGTATAAACCTAATGGGGGCCATGATATGCTGGTATGACTCCATCACAACAAGGACTGCATGTTCTAAACTCCCTACCTCCACCCAGAAAGAAAAGCAAGCAACTTTTTGGAGGCAGTTTTTCAACTCCAAAAAAAAGTAAAAAGAAAAGAAAAAGAAAAAAAAAATAGAGAAGAGGAAAGAGGCGGGAAATGGCTTACATGAGAATCCTTTTTATATGCACAGAAGAAAAATTAGATTTAAAAAATCTAGTGGTACTGAGAATTGAACCCAGGACCTTCACAACTGAGTGACATTCCCAGCGCATTTTTTATTTTGAGATAGTCTTGCTGAATTGATAAACTGCCCAGATTAGAATCAAACTTGGAATTTTCCTGCCTCAGCCTCCCAGAATGCTATTACAGGCCTGCACCACCAGGTGGAGCTTAGAAAAAAAATTTTTTAATTAACAATGGGATCACAGAAAACTTTTACTTTCTTTTTATCTTTTTTGCTTTCTCATTAATACATATTACTTGTGTAGTAAAAAAAATTGAAAACAATTAGACATATTGTAAAAAATGTTAAAGAGGAAATGAAAAACAACAAAACAAAAGCACTCACAGTAGACTGAAATCACCTCTAGGCCAAAAAAAGAAAAAAACCACACTCATTCAAACATGAGTTGCTACAAAACAAACACAGAAACACTAACCAACAGCAGCATGAACATTCTCAAGTTGTCTGCCAAAACACATTGATTTAGCAGATACACTAAATTATTAATTCAAACGGAATGCTGAATGCTTGGCTTTTTTTAGACACAGAGCTCTTATACAGAGAGTAGCTCATAGATTCACAACACTCTTACTTCCTTGAGAACTGCTCTCTGAACTCAAAGCTGTTTCCAAAAGCCTCGTCTGAAGTTTATGAAGCTGCCCACCCTCATACACACTCTAGCCAGAGATTTTTAAAACAAAACTAAAGCCCCTCTTTATACACCATCCCAACACACATACAAAAGGTCACCACTACGACCACCACCACAACTCTGGATCGATGTTGGATAAATTCTCTCCTGGAAGTATGCACTTAAAGAGACCCAAACAAAGAGTGCAAGTATGGAAACTGAATTACACCAAGGACAACACTTAAGAAAATATATCCATTCTGTCACTAAGCATTCTCTGAATGAGCCATACTATGCTCAAAACTTCATTTCTCTTCCTTGGGGTAGGTGAAATGCCCTACTACCTTCTCAGGGTTCAGTTTACTAAACTGGCTAGAATCAGATTCTCACCCCCAAAAACGGGATGAAGGAGGAACCCAAATCAGCAAACACAGGAATTAACAGAATAATGCCTCAAGTGGTATAGTACAGTGGTTCAGAATATGACCTTTGGAGTCAAAACTAAACATGAATTCTGCCTCTGCCATTTAATAGCTGTGAGACCTTGGACAAGTTATTTAACGTTTTTGTGCCTAAGTTTTGTCACTGGTAAAATCGAGTAATAATAGTACCCATGTCTTTGGTAATATTTGAGTTGTTAAAATGACTAGAATTAATATCTGTAAAATATTGACAAATGGCACCTGGTAAGTGGCAAGTAATTATACATGTTGATCACTACTGTACATAAAAGTAGTGTAATTAATATCTACAAAGAAATAACAGAGCATCACATTCATGAAAAGAGGACAAAGCAACTAAGGAAAAAGCAATTAGGGAACATGGAAATCAAATAACCAGAAATTGAAAACTGAAGTATTTTTTTGAAGTTTTTTCTTTTTTATTTGATTATTATTTTTTCTTCACATCTTTTTTTATTAGTACAGATTGATAGGTTTCATTTTGGCATATCTGTACATAACATTTAATTATTTTCATCCCCCCTTCACCTCCTTGCCCTACCTATCCACTTGTTTTACCTTTTGGGGAGGGTTTCAATGCATGTACTATGATCACATCCATCTCTCTTATTAAACAATGCTTACACCCTTCCCCCTTTATTCCCTTCCCATCTAGTAACAGTTTCCTTTGTACTTTCATTTCATCTTTTTTAGATTTCACATATTAGGAAGAATGTGATTTTGTCTTTCTAAGTCTGATTTATTTCACTTAACATGACTGATCTTTAATATTGTCCATTTTTCTGCAAATGACATAATTTTGTTCTTCTTTACATCTGAATAATACTCTGTTGTGTATATATACAACATTTTATTTATCCATTCATCTGTTGATGGCACCTAGGCTTGTTCAATATCCTGGCTATTGTGAATTATGATGCAATAAACATGGGTCCGAAAGGTATCCTTAAGGTAGAAAGCTAAAGTATTTTTAAATCTAACATATTCTTTTCATTATACTTATTATATTTATTAAAAGCAATACTTTTCTTAAAAGAGACTATCCATACTTTTTTTTTTTCAAATCCATCACTTACCTAATGTTGCCATTATCTATCAGGATTCTAGTATAACAATTCACAACATAGCTCTGAAGAGGCATTAAATATCTGCAGAATAATCCCATCTTATTGTGTACATTTAAACTTATTTTTACATGTACAGACCTAATTTTTTAAATGTTTGTTACAAATGGATTAAGATTATATCCTGTGAAATAATGAAATTGAGTCATTCCAATGTTCAGAACCATTCTGGTAAAAGATAATAATCAGTCACCATCTTAGCATCCTTGAGTCTCGAAAATACTCTTATCTGAACATAACTCTCCTACCTCCGAAAGATGACTAAGATCACTTCTGATCCACACAGGCAGAGGTGATTACCACTCCTTTGCTCTACCTGTACACACCGTACATAACACCATTATTTTGTATGTTAAGGTCTTGAACCTGTACTGAGATGCTTAGTGTCTTATTTATGTTTGCTTCTCTACCACCAGTGGCAATATTATAACCAACATTATCTTACTGCAAATTCCTTTATCTAGGCTTCCTGAGGCCTTACAGATTACGGGCCTGCAAACTAAGAACAGGAGTTGGAAGCTAAACCTAGCTCACAGTCTCTTTGCACAATCCATGAATTAACAATGTTTCTACATTCTTGAACAGTTGGAAAAAACTAAGAAAAACAATACCTTGTGACAGGTAAAAATTACATGAAATTCAAATTTCAGGGTATATAAATTAAGTATTCTTGGAATCCAGCCACGCTTATTCATTTAAGTATTGTCTATGATTCCTTTTGTGCTACCAGAGTTAAGTTGCATAGACACCATATGGTTGGCAAAACCTAAAACATTACTATCTCACTGAAGGATTTATACACCCAACATTAGAGGGCAAAAAGTGTGTGACACTGTCACTGATTTCAGAGAAAAACTGAATAACATTTTAATGGCCGTTGAGGGAAGAGTGTGCAAAAGACTGAAACTGAGTTTCTATGCAAACAGAAAAGCATGAAAAAGCTAGACTCTCCAAAGGGCCTGACTTATATAAAGAAAGACACAGTATCTGCAATATGGCAGAAGGGTAACACAAAAGGAAACTACAAAGGATACTGGTGTGTGCCCTAGATGACACTATAAAGACAGGCACTGGAAATGAATTATGAAGTACTACGTACAGGAAATTAACAGCCCCTCTTATCTTGTAAACCTACAGAAAGCATTCTCTATTTCCTCTACTGCATTTTTCACACCTCAGGGTGTTTAAATTCTTGGCCATTACATTTCACTAGTCCATTCACTGGCCCATCCCCAAGCCTCCTGTCTGTTCACAGCATCAGTCTCATACTGTCTGACCTTGATTCCCAGTTCAGTGAAAAATGGAAAACAGTCAAGAGAAATTTCAGAAATCTCCCACTATTTTTTCTACCTACACACATCTGTGCCCAAAATAATGTACATTTCAATAATTCATCATTTCTGCCTCACTCAAGACTCTTTTCATTAGAATTCTCAATGACGAAAGGTCCAAATCAATCTGGTATTAGCTGTACTTTTTAATTGACTTTTTTCTTTATGAAGGAGAGACTAAGAACCTACCTGGCACAAGACTTGAAAGAAATTTGTACCCAGCTACATTACTGGCTTCTCAATTTATAAAATGAGCCTTTTAACAGGAGACAAAATATAAATGATTTCTTCTCTAATGCTTTAAAAAGTATTGAAGATGGTGCGATAATAATACAAGGTACTGTCAATACAATATAACCTGAAGTTTATGAGTGTTTCTTGGTGAAAATAACAATGCAGTGGCACTCATATGGCAAGTTATCCGATAACTTTTTAATACATAGTAGTTTTTTAAAAGCTTATGCATAAAACTAATTTTAATCCTATTAATTCACATACTAGTAAAGATTATGCTATAGCAAAACATGAAATTATTTTATATAATATCTAAAACTCAAGAATAGAGATTACAAATTGTATTCATTTTGGTACTCCTGACACAAATAACAATATCTGGACTACAAAGAGACATATAACAAATATATTTGTTATATATATATTAATATATTAACAAACTTGGTCTTATTCTAAATGTAAGGTTTCCCAATACCACCCTGTTTGAAGTTTTACACATTCGACATCCCATACACTTTCAAAGATTAATGTCTCTTTAGTTTGATTGTAACGCAAATACCCCAAAAGCCCTAAATGATCTATTAATGTTCTCTCCTGTGGAGTCTTTCCTAAGCAATACTCCCAGATATTGCTTTCTGGACAAACATAAAATATAGTAGATAAAGCACCATAATTAAACAGTCAAGCATACCTAAGCTAGAATCTCAGGTCTATCTTATTTACTAGCTGAGATCTTAATAAATTACTTAACCTCTCTGAAACCCATTTCTCATATCTGTCCACTTAGAAAAACACCTCCAATCTCAGAGTGGCTGCTAGGATTAAATGAGATAATACTGAGCCTGGGTTAGATGAGAGTCCAACAAATGCTCCTTTTCTACTCTTAAAACGCCCTCGACAGAAGATAAACACGGTTGTGGGGTTCCCCGCCCCATTCAGTTTTTCTAAAACGTAAATCCAAGACAAGGGGCCTAAGGGAACTCCCTCAGCGCTGAGCACCTCAAATCCAGATCAATGCCTCCAGCCCACCTTGTTTGCCCATCTGCGGCTTTGCTGTGTTTTAGAAACCTGGACATCGGCCCCTCGAACTGTGTTATGAGATCTGCGCACTGGCTTCTCTCCCCAGCGCCTTTTAACACACACACACACACACACACACACACACATACACGCACGCACGCACGCACACCCCGGGATGCGATTATCCCGCCCTTCCGAGGAGACGCCTTCCCGTCCTCCGGGGAGGATGCTGTGGCGCGGGAACCGCCGCATCCACTACCTGCAGCGTCGCGGCCGCCCGGCCCGGCCCGGCGCGGACCCCAGATCCCGGGCCCCGCGGACCCCACGGACGTTAGGGCGGACCGCGTTTTCCCTGGCCGCTCCGGGCCCGCCGCACCTCGCACCGCGGACCCTCGATTCCTCGGCCCTTCACTTCCCAGGGGCGGCTTGGCCGCGGCAGGCTTCAGGGACCGCTGCCCACCGCGCAGCCCTCACCTCAGAGCCGAAGCCGCAGCGCCTCCAGGCCCCAGGTGACGGAGCTCGGAACTGCGTGTGGACGCGGCCTCGCGAGCGCGCTCCCGCCGCTCCGCCCCGCGCGCCCGAGCGGAGAGCCCTCGGTGCCGGAAGCGCGCCGGCCTCGGGCTGGACGCACCTGACGGCGGGGCTCCCAGGGGGCGGGGCCGGCCGGACGCGCGCGCTCCCGTGCTAGGGCCCCGCGCGTCCCGGCGCACCTGGGGGCGGGACTACGAGGGGCGGGGCTCTTAGGGGCGGGCGAGAGAGCGGGAGGTGGACGGGTACCCGAGCGCCTGTCAGTCACCCCGCCTGGGCCCCTGGAGTCTGTCTCCTCTGCGGAGATCCAGCCGCGCCCTCCTCCGAGGCCCTGCTCAAAACAACGCGCTTTTAAGTCAGGGCTCAGGTCTGAATCGGCGTCCTGCCACCTCCTAGCGGGTGTCCGTGGCCTCCTCTGCCTTTCTGGTTTCGTCTAGTTTTAGGGAGCCTCCCCACCCCTTTTCCTGGAGTGTGGAGTCCCTCCGAGTCCCCTTCTCCCACTGGCCACAGGGCCTGGGTTCCGCGCCCTCATTTCAATAACCAGGGTCTTTCCTTCTCCTTTCCAAAGGGTGGCATAAGCCGCAGGTTGTATACCACAACTTACCTTTGCTAAAAATGCTATCTAGTGCTGCTCCTGGTAACATAAACCTGTAACCATAGCTACTTGGAAGGCTGAGGCAGGAGGATTGCAAGTTCGAGGCCAACTTGGACAGTTTTATAATAAGACTGTCTCAAAAAGAAAGGGAGAGAGGGAGGCAAGCAAGATAGAGGTTGTAGAGGTAGAAAGAGTTCACAACACTGGCATTACATATTTTCCTGTCTATATTTCCTTGCACGGTTGTTTTTAGAGATCTAAAAAAAAAAATCTGTTGCTCTTTCTGTTACTCGCGTTTAAAGCAAATCTCTCCAACAATCATCCTGCTAAGTTTTAAAAAGAAAAAAAGTCAAGGGGTCAATATTGTTTTACTTATCTTTCCAAATATGGCTTACATAGGAAATGCAACGAAGTTCATCAGAATACATGATGATTGAAAGATCTGGAGCAAAGAGAGAGGACATCCAAGGAACTGCACCGGAAAACCGAAGAAGGCAGATAACCATCATACATTTTGTCTAGTTCCGAAATATTTGAAACATTTTTGTTCCAAGTTTAAAAGAATGCATCCTCAATGGCGTATATTTGAGTAAGTAAGTGTAGGTCAAAGCTAAACTTATTAAAATGTTAATGAATTTTACCTTCAACTCAACTGTCCAGTGACACTTCTCACTAGTAGTAGCTTTAACCTGTTCCAACTTCCAAAATCTACCCATCATTTCTACCACTGTTTCAGGCAACAATTTTCTGAGTTTTTATCCTTATAATATTCTGTCATTCATTCCGTCTGCTTAACACTTTCAATCTTGTTTGAAGATGATATGAACAAAATTCATTTCTTCTCTAAAATTGTCGTTATCCCTGAGAAAATGATCTCACTCTGTTTCCTCTTAACTATACATATGCTGCCATCTTGCTCATATTATTTATGTGCTAGCTCTTCAATTAAATTCTAAGAAGTTTGAAGCTAAGAGCAATTACTTATGACAATTTAAATTTTTAAGTCTATGCATCATAGTATACGGTAAATGTTGATAATACTACTGATGAGAAAAGACATATTACAAGACAGATCACGCAAATATTATCAGTATTATCCCTGTAGAATTTGACTACTCCACAAAATCTACCTAGTCATAGAAGAAGATATCAACCACTTCTTGCAGAATAATGGCAACATTATGACAGTAATAGGGTTGTGAGAATAACATAATACTAGTTTTTTGTCTTTTTACAGGCTAGTTATCAGACTGCTTGTATCGTATAAATAAGTTAGCCATATCATCTGAATATAAGTTTCCATAGTTGCCAGGGTTTAATACTAAAGAGCTGAAGGGATGATGTTCCTTCCTGAGTTTCTGTATCTAGGAAATAGAAACAAGCCGTATTGCTTGTTTGTCATGGAGGCAACCCAAATCCCCACGGCTCATTAATAGATCTTTTAAACAAATAAATCACACGAGAATTCGTGGATCATAAGAACTGTAACCTGAGATTTAACAAGCTGCCTAGCTGTACTGAATTAACAGTGAACTGGAATAGTTATGTTGAATAGTTATATGAAGAAAAAGAATAAGTCTTGCTATCCTACATATCAACCTACAACCTAGACTCCCACTGGTGAACAATGGATTATACTTTTTTTACTTGCCAGACTTTGAAGCTTTATTTCAATGGATTTCCTAGCTATTTTTGCAAAAATTAAGGGCAAAATTGCTAGATGGTTATAGCTACTTTTTCAAATGTCAAGTTAGTACATTGTTTTGCATGATTACCAATACAGTGGTATATCAGCTTACAAACTTAATTCTTTCCATGTTTCAGGTATGCATATGCTTGCAATTTGGTTGCAACCAGAATTGTAGAATGAATTCTGTGACCAGAATTATAGAAAGAATTAAGTTTGTGAACCGAGGTACCACTGTACATTGAAAATCATATGCATCATTTTAAAATCTATTATTGAACAATATTTATTTTTAAATACCATTTCTACAAGCTAAGAAAGATGCCAAGAGAAGTGGGGTGGTTTCTAAATTCAGGGTATAAGTAGGTAGAATTTCAAAGAATTTCAAATTGGTACCTTTGTCTAGAATGAGATAAGACCACAAAATACAAACTTGGCTGACAAAGTAGAAAGGGAATCAAATATCTTTAACTCTAAAATTCCAAGCTACCATACGAAATATGGCTGAAATGGTTATTAAATAGCTAGGGAAATGATCAATAATTGATAGAGGGTTAGAGCAGAGAGGTTTAGACAAAAGGAATGGCTTCTGATGATAATTTTAGTTTGATTTGTATTAATATTACTAATATTATTGTTGTTATTATTGTTTCTACTACAACAAAAATAATTTCATGTATTTTATTCTTTCTGTTTCTCCAAACAGATTTAGTCAAGGACACTGATATTTGAAGACTGTAAAGAAAAATTTATTTAAAACTCAACCACCCAGCTGTGTATGGGGGCACACAATAGGAGGAGGAAGGACAATGGTGAGTTTGAGGCTAGTACGGGCCACACAGAAAAATCCTCTCTCAAAAACAAAATCCTCATGTGGCTGGGGATTTAGCTCAGTGGTTCTGCTGCTTGCCTCACAAGCGCAATGACCCAAGTTCGATCCCCAGTACCAAAAAAAATAAAGTAGAAAAACAAAATCCTCAACCACCCAACAAGTTTTTATCAAAGTGCCTAGTATTCTTCCTTAGTTAGAACTCCAACTTTCCAAGTGAACAACAACCAAAGAAGGTAAAAGAAGAGAAAATGAATAATTATCCTGAGAGCCAAAAATAATAATTAAAAATCATCAAGCCAGAGATGGTGCTGTGCATCTGTATTTCTAGCACAAAGGAGGCTGAGATAGGAGGATCACTGGAGCTCAGAGTGATCCCGCTATCTCAAAACCAAACAAACCACAAAAAGTTTCAAGCAATGGGAGACATTTGTTCTGCTATTAAATTACGTGGTGCAAATTGTAAAGTGCTATAGAGAAATCATTGACAGCTACAGTTACCATTAACTTCAAGAGGAAAAGGTGAAGAATTGGTTTTATACCTAAGAGAAAGAGGTAATGATGAGGAGAGACTTGAGTCAATTTGTGTTTTCTTTCCTACTTTGGGAAAGAAAATGGACTTTAAATTGGTAAAGCTGCAACATCGTTGACAGAGAACTGAAACTTGAACTACGTGAGGAGTAGTAAGAGAACACCTATCTATTTCAAATAAGTTCATGTTTCCAGGCACAAATTGTATCCCACAGCTGTTTACAGGTAACCTAAGACCTATTGCTGGTAAGTTACCAGAAACTATAAAAAGTGAAAAGACACTAGATCACATAACCTCAAAGAAAATTTAACAGAAATAAATGAAAATTCCTACATTCACATTGAATGATCAAACTACACAAGTCCAAAATTGGACAGATTCTAATTAGCTCATATATGAAGCATCTAGACCTTTTAGGGTTTGCCAAGACCAATGTCGTTAGTAATATATCACAAGAAGCATATACACACATCTATTTGAAAACAGTGTCCTCACCTTATCTCTTTCCCTCCATCCCCTGCCACTATGCCCCCTGAGTCCTGTATTCCCCTAGAATAAGAATAACAATCCACAATCCACCAAAGATGTCCACATCCTAATCCTGGGAGCCTGTGAAGATGCTATCTTCAGTGTGAAAATGGAATTAATTTTACAGATGAAATTAAATTTGCTAATCAGCTGACCTTAAAATAGATTATCCTTGCTTATCCTGGAGGAACAAATATAATCAGATGAGTCCCTAAATGTGGAAGGGAAAGGTGGAAAAAATGCTGATTCACCGGAAATTAATGAAACTAACCAATCAGAGGATCAGGGTATTAAGAACAACCTAAATGTTAAGTGATTCTGGTTCTTAAAATCTATCCTTAAGAAGGGACCAGAATGGTTCAAAGGGACGAGAATTCCACCCATCAGTATTGGTGGGAAAAGGGAGGGAGGCATGCCCACGGTCTCTCAAAAGTGGAAGACAAGGAGACACAACTTCCATGACAGCCTCCAGAAAGAAACAGACCTTTAATAACATCTTGATTTTATCCCACAGAGAACCATCCATTGGGCTTCTAACTTTGAGAATTGTAAGGTAAGTCTGTGTTCTTTTGAATCACTAAAGCTGTGGCAATTGGTTATAGCAGCAATAGAAAATGAATATACCCCTTGATTTTTTTCTCTGTATTGTAGCACTATGATTTTTTAGCATCCAGCTGTCACCTTTTTTCTTCTGTCTCCCTACAAGTAATCCTTTGCCATAGAAAAGACAGTAAACTAATACTTAAATATTTTGAATTCAGAAATCTAGCAACTGATGTGACCTCATTATCCCATATTACTTAAAAAATAGTTCGCTGCATATATTATTTTCTCCAATTTTCTGGGTTTGCTTCAGTGAGTTCACGAGATGAGATAATGTACAATAATAAAATCCAACTGTTTGGCACACAATATATGCTACTTTCTTCTTTGTTTTATATGTAATCTTTAATCTCTATAGTGACATTGTGAACTAAGTATTATTTTTCTGTTACTGAAATAGAAGATAAATACTCTGAAAACTAAAAAGCACAAGAGATTACAAATTAATGGAAATCATAAAGGGAATCAATACACAAGGAAAAAAACTTTTTTCTACAAATAGTTCTTGGAAATATTTTTTCATTTAAGCTTTATTAATATTATATTTCAATATTTGTACCTGGCACATTTCCATCATAGTTCTTCATTAATCTGTCTATTCATTAGTATTTGTGAAGGGGCTACTATATGTGAGGTACTGTCATAAATATTTGAGGTAGAAGAGTGGATGAAACAGACATGACCAGCTAGTCAGCAGTATAGACTGTAATGAGGGATATAAAACAGGAAGTGACTGTGGAGTGTAGTAACTAGCATCCCAGGAATGGTACTCCATATCAGGACATTAGTGACTTGTCTAATACAGATCTGGGGAGGGGGAAATCAAGGAACAATGTCCAGAGGAACTCACATCTAAATAAAGATCTGAAGGCTAAGTAGGAGTTAGGCAACAGTTAAGGAGAGAACATTCTGGAAGAATACTGATATCTTCAGTATATCAGCCTTCTCCTCGTTTGCACTGACTTTTCTTTTCTCAGTTCTGTCTCCGAACTCGAATAGTTCCTGCTTCAAGATTCTTTCCCAAAACACAATCTGATGTTAAATTCCTGATATGAAATTTTTTAATAAACTCTTTACCCATAATCCATTTATCTGATCACAATGTCTCTTAATCTAATAACCATTTCTGTCACTTCTAAATCCTTTGTTTTCCTATCCAACTAGAACATGGTCCTCTGTTACTAATTAACTATAATATAAACAAGTAAGTGCAGTGTAAATGTTTTCCACTTCACTCCATTCTGTGGTTACCTTCTTTTGCCACTAGATGGTACTTGCATATTTCAGAGACTAAAATGCTGGTTCAGTTTACCTTCATGGAAACTACCGGAAGTAACCAATCTGATAATCAGGTAATTAAGATGAAACTGCCCAACCTAAATGTTAAGTCATCCTGGTTCTTACATTTATCCTTTAAATTTTCCGTAATATCATCCTTTCTCTTTGGATAAATATGACTTTTAAGAACTTTAAAATTAAGCTGTCTTTAAATTCCTGCTCTGACCACCCCAGTCCCACTCAAGCTTTTCATTTCTTTTTAAAATGTATGATATTCTTCTAATATCTTAACCTGAAAAGTGGAGTTGTTGTCCCTAGTGGAGGGACTCCACCTCCCAGCTCCTTATCTAGGCTAATATTTTCCCTCTGCTTGAAGGAGTCACTCCTTCCCTTCAACACCATCCCTTCCCTTGTTACTTTAGACATCCTAGACATTTTTCTAGGAATTTTTTTTTTTCCAGCACCAGGAATCCAACTGAGGACCTTGCACTTGCCAGCCAGGAGTGGCACCACTGAGCTACACCCACAGCCCTATCTAGGCATATTTTTAACTTGTATCCGTACCATGAAGTTTTCCATGTTTACTACCACTATAAAATGCTTTCTTCTGATTTCCTTTTCATTATATTAACAAGTTCAGTGATTTGTTTAATAATAAATGTAACATCCATTATTCTGAAGAGCTATATGCATCTCTTTAGGACTTGAAGACTGTTTTAGGATTATTTATGAACCTTCTTAATCTCTGTGCTGTATAATGTGTGGATATAGTCGACATTATCCTGAATATTTAATGCAATATTATTTATTGAACTGATTTTAATGGTAATATCCATAAGACTACTGGCAAACAGTCTGAGAATAAAAAATGAGGTGGTGATTCTTAATTAAAATCTCTTGAGTAATTTGGATGAAATTTATTAGCAAGACAAGACCTATGGAACCAAATTATTGATCTTGGTGGAAATCATAATCATGGCATGAGATCCTATTTCCTGCATTATATATCTATAATGGATAGAATATGTCATTGTTGGTGGTTTTTTGTTTGCTTGTTTGCTTTGTGGTATTGAGTATTGAACCCAGGGCCTTCACACTGAACTACATCCTCAACCCTTTTTTTGCTTTTTGTTTTGACACAGTGTTGTTTAGAGTAGAGCTAAGTCTTGAAAGTGGCCTATATGTCCATCAACAGATGAATTTAAAAAGAAAATGGAGTATTTATATACATGGAGTACTACACTGCAAAAAAGGATAAATTTGAGTCATCTTAAGACGATAACTTAAGTGACATAAATCAAGCACACAAACTTAAATAGCTCATGATTTCTTTTATATGAGAAACCCAAAGTATAAATACTTTATAGAGCAAAATAGAATGTAGATAATAGGAAACAGGAGGATAGATCTTTTGAAAATGGAAATGAGACCAAGAAATAGAGGGAAGAGAGAAGGGAAGGGGAAGTAAAAAGATTTAAGATGTGTTACATAATACATGTACCAACTCCCCATGATGAATGTAACAATTATATACTACAAATGTGTACTGATAAAAAAAATTTTTAATGAGCACATTAAAAAAAAGTCCCACCAAAGTCTCATGTATTCAGAGGTGGGGCCTTTGAAGGGTGATTAGATCGTGATGGACCCTATACTCATCAGTGGATTTATCAATTGATGAGTTCATGGCTGAATGTGCTGTTAAGATGTGGGGAATATGGGAGGATATGGGTTACCAAGGGCATGAATTGGAAGGGTGTATTTTTGTGCCTGGACCCTCCCTTCTCTGCTTTCTGGCCACCTTGGGATGAGCAGCTTTCCTCGCCATGCCATTCTGTTATGCCATTCTACCTTGGCGCCAGGCAGCCTTGGACTGAACCATCTGAGGCGCCACGGGGGAGGGCCATAAAGGCCACGGTTAGGAGCCCCAGAAGGTAGAGCAGAAGTGAACAACAGAGAGGGCCTCTCTGAGGCTCCTCAATGAAAGTTGAAGCCCACTGGGAAAGTGAAGAAAATCTCTTCAATAAATACCCACTGCTCCATCGTGGTTGGCTCATGATGCACAGCATGATACTCTCTTCTGATGCTGAGCAGCCGCAGATCCCAGAGAGCCATGCGGTGATGAAGATGGAAAACCGATGTTCTACAGTGTACCGTGCTGCCGGTGTCTTTTGGGTACAAGTATTTAATAAGTTACATATTCTATTTAATACAGTATTATAAAGTAAAAAAAAAAAGGCACAGGAAGTGGACAAGGGCACTGCACTCGTTCAGGCCCCCACTCCACTTCTGCTCACCCAGACACAGAAGCAGGGAGGGCGTTAAATGTGGCCGCTGGGGGCTTCGGCCAGGACCGGCTCCTCAGGGATACTAGCCCTTGAGACTTAGGAATGTTCCTTCCAGGAAAGTGGGGTGGGGTTTCAATGGGGTGAGTGGGGCGGGGCTTGCCCAGAGTCCCAACTCAGGCTCTGAGCACCGGGGTCAGGTCCTGCGGCAGCCAGAGCCCTTCCATTCCAGAAAGGTCTGCCAGAGATGGCCAGCTGGGGGAGATGAAGGCAAAGTAAACCTTTCCTTCTCAAATTTGTGGGTGTTGGGGATTTTTGTCCTAATGATAGGAAAATGACCGATGCATAAAGTTGGCACCACAGCAGTAGATTGCCAAATATTTTTAAGTCACCTCACTGTTATTTTGCCATATTTTATTGTCATTTGCTAGAAAGACAGTCTATTTAGTCAAATTGTTGGTGTTCTATGTAGGACCGATAGCCTTCATCTCTTCTTTACGTGTGAACTTTTTATTTTCTCTTGAAAATTTTTATTTTTCTAGTAATTTATTTTTATATTTTTTGAAATGGGGTCTAGCTATGTAGTTCAGGTTGGCCTTGAATTCAATTTTAGCCCAGGCTGGCCTTGAATTCCTGGAAATTCTCCTGGCTCAGCCTCCAAAGTGCTGGGATTACAGGCGTTCACCACCATGCCTAGCAGATAAATTTTTATTTTTATTGTTGTTAGTTATTGCTAAAATAGCTTATAGTAATACTTTTTAAAACCAAGGAAGAGAGGAAAAATAGGAATAGAAATAAAGGAAACACTTTAATCCTTTACATTCTGGTACATATTATGTGGTACATTATTTAGGATAAGCTAATAAACTAAATTGACCAATTGACCCAAAACTGTGAACAGTTTAAACAAAACTGATTCTTATTTCTTACTCATAGAGCAGTTCGAAAAGATGCCCTGGGCATTATCGTTCAGTTAGGAGATGAGAGGTTGAAAAGACAGGAAGGTGAAAAAGCTCCCTTTTTAACTGCCCAGGCCCTGAAGTGACATTCATCACTTCTGCCATCTCTGTGAGAGGTAGCTAAGCTGCATTTCTTAGATGTCAGGGGAGTGTTCTCAGCTGGGCATCTGCTGCCCAGCGGAATCTAGGTATGAAAGAAGAGAGACCTCATATTCAACAACTGCTAGCCGTGTTTTCTTTCTTGGAGATTTAAGTTAAAAAACCTATCTTTGAGGGCTGGGGATTTAGCTCAGTGGTTCTGCCCTGTCTCCCAAGGGCAGGGTTCTGAGTTCAATCCCTGATACCAGAAAAAAAAAAAAAAGAGGGCTGATGGAGTGAAGGGAAAGGGGACAAGAAAAACAGAGAAAAACAGAAAAACCTATCTTTGAATGTAACTAAGCCTAGCCCTTTATAGGTTTTTTTTTTAATGGACAACACCTTTTTTTAACACCATTGTTATTGGCATTAAAAATTTTGGAAATTTTTATTTTCCCCCTAGATTGTCCATTCCATGTAAATTTTCTAATATATTAGCATACACATGTATAATACATTCTCAGATAACTATTAAAAATTTCTATGGATCTCTAGCTATATCTGGTTATTTTTTTAATCCTGATTCAGCTAGTTTATCTAATCTGTTAGTGTTTTTAATAAATGGATTTATTATAAATTTTATCATTTTTCTGCATAGAATTTTTGGAATATTTAATTTTGCTTTTGTGTACAAATAGATCGCTTTTGCTGGGGATTTAGCTCAGTGGCACCAAGCCTGCCTTGCAAGTGCAAGGTCCTGAGTTCAATCCCCAGTACCAAAAATTACTTGCTAAATCTTTTTGTACTTAAAAATAATTCTTTTGCCTTGACACATGAATCACAATTTAGATTGAAAAAGAATTCTTAGGTAACACCTATTCCTCCAACAAAACTCTGTAGACACACATGCATGTGTATATGCGTGCACACACACAGTTTTTATTTTCAGAGCCCTTGGATGGTAAGTTTCATACATCACATTGAGACAGGAGATGAGGACATTGGCAAAGCTGCCTGAGGAAGTAGGTGTGACCTGTTATTTACAAAATCCCAGGACACATGAACAAAACAGTTCCCAAAGTCCTCCATGTGGACTTCTCAAAGCAGGTTTTCAATAAGATGGCCTAGACTCTGCCCTCAGCCTGAGGACTGGGTGATAACAAAAAGGACCATATACATTGAGTTTTTGCCATTGCGTTCACTCTTCCATGGTGGCCTGCCCTCATGTTGTAGAGTACACTTCTTTTCCTACTTTTCCTTGGCCAAAACTCACTCTGCAAAGCCTGTTTCTTTTCCTACCGCCAATAAAACTTTGCTACTGTTTGTGCTTGTCTTGACCAATTCTTTGCTCAAGACAGAAAGGACCTAGAAACTTCCCCCCAAAGAGACTCCAAGCACCCCAAAACTCAGTAACAATACCACTTTCCCCCTAAATACGGTATTTTCTGAAAGACAAGAGGAGTCTTGTCAACTAAGAATAAAGTCAGCCTGGTTGAAAATAAAGAAAAATGCATTTATTCAGGGATAATTAGGATTGCAATCTGGGAGATACAGATTCAAGTACACCTCAGTTGAGTTTCAAGGCTTGAAGAAAATGTAGCTGTATTTAAAATCTAAAACTCCGAGGGGGTTGGTAGTTACATTAGCTGTTTGTCGGGATTTGTAATTGGTGGTGGCCAAAGTTAAATTGTGTTGTAAAAAAAGAACTGGGTGCAGTCTCAGTGTCTAGGTAGTTTGAGGGAAGGGCCCATTGCTCAGATGATCAGCACAGATTAGGAAACAATTCCTTAAGAGACTGTGCTTGGGCCTAGTTCAAAGTTCAGGCCCATCCAGGGGTGGACCCTTCTGCAGCTTGCAGCCTGGAACCTGACCCAACAACAGCACCCTAACCCTATTTTAAGTGCCCTGAACCAGTGTGACCAGTTTATGGGTCCCAGGGAAATTCTTTCCAGGTTCTTGGTGTTCTGAACAAAGAAATGGATAAGTCACACAGAAAGAGTAGTGAGGATGTATACTTACTGAAGGTGGAAAAGAATGCTCTGCAGAGTGAGAGCAGGCAGTGAAAAGGCTCACAGCGCCCACCAGGATAATGGAAGGGGCTCTTTTGTATCTGGAATTCCTTGATTGGCTTCTCTCCCCATGCAAATTAAGACATATAGATGGCTATCTTAGCAAAAACTCACTTGACCAGGAGCCAGGTTTAAACTGTCCTATTGAAGACTCACTTGGTTTTGTGCCAGATGCAAATAAAGAATTGAAAATGGCCATTTTCTCACTGGCTCCACATACAGTGCTTGGGAACTGCCAGCATCCTGGATTCCAGGTTGTGCACATGTGCCCTGGGTCTCATGACTTGTAAACTATGTCTACTTGTTTAACCAGTTTTGCCCCAGCCCTATTCTCCTACCTCCCCAGTGCTACACCAGTTTGCTTTTCTTTGTTGACAGTCACCTAAACTAAACATATGTTTATTAATTTGCTGATTTTCAGTTTCCCAATGTCAGGAAATACTTCTTGCCTGGTCTCTGTTATATGCTCGAGGAGTAGAATAGTACCTGTCATTTATATAACTAGTAGGCAAACGTTTTCTGTAAAGAGTTAAAATAATGCATGTTAGGCTCTGCAGGCCAAGAGGCAATATTGAGGACATTATATAGATATTCATACAAGAGAAAACACATTTCTACATTTAAAGATTGTTGGAATTTAAAAATATAATGACAGTTGAATACATTTTTTTTTTAATACTGATGAATTGGATTAAGGAGACAGAGGGTGGGCAGCAGCAGAAATTACTCTTTGGAAGACCAACGGGGAATACAACAGGTAGCCATGGATGGCAGCCCTACCTACACCTCTAGACCTAAGGGATCCTCACGGTTAAGTTGACTTCAGAATGCCTTGAACCGGGGTTGATGGGGGAGTAGTCCAGGATGCAGTTAAAAGATAGTAATGGAGAGAGGGAGAGAGAGGTAAAAACATGAAGATTAGTCCTGATCTCTTGAGAAACCCTCAATTCTGCTTTTGAAGCAAGAAAACAGCCACAACCAATATGTAAACTAATAAATGTGGCTAATAAAACTAATAAAAGGAAAGTATTGTGGGCACTAAAATCTGAATTTGATATAATTTTCATGTACCACAAAATATTACTTTTCTTTTTTCTTACCAGCTAAAAATGCAAATATCCTTTCTAGCCAGTGGACCACACAAAAACAGGGTTGGGGCTAGATTCGGCCCTCAGGCTGTAGTTTGTTCACTCTAGTAATAGATACTCAAGTGAAAGGAAGAAAGGAAGTGGTGGAAGATTTTTTGAAAAAACAACTGGTGAAATTGTGAGTCATATACAAATGGAAACTAAATGTGTGCTAAAGGGTTTTTTTAGCTCTTTAAATAATGAAGGAATCAGTAAGATGTTACAGCTAGTGCAAAGGAAAATTCAAACAACACACATACACAATTAGGAAAGCTGAAATAATGGATGCAAAATTTGAGAATATCTATATAATAATGATGAGTTGTATTCTTCTGGACGAAATTGATTTGCATTTCTAGAGACAAGACTCATCTGCTTTATCCCAACTCTTTTGCCACATGCAAAGTTGTAAAACATCTTAATGACAGTGAGTGGCCTGAGCCCCTCCATTCACAACTACAGTAGGAAAAATGAGACCACTTACTGTGGTTGTTGGTTATGAAAATAAGCACAATGGAATTTTAAGTGTGTAATAAATTCAAAATATCAAAGTGATACTTAAGTGCTGCTTTTCAGGGATTGCTAAAAGTTATTTGTTTCACTTTGCTTCTAAAATGTCATAATGTTTTTATAATATGACAGCCACAGAAGCATTCCAACCCCTCTACCAAAAGAATACTTCCTTGCCTTAGCCTGAGAACTTTGTGCAGGGTCAGAAGCAGTACAATGGCTTGCAAGCTGCAGAGTCAATTCACAGTTCCAACACGCATTGGCTGTGTAACCCTCAGCAAATAAATTAATGTGTCTCAAGTCTCAGTTTCTTCGTGTGAATAATAATAATAATAATGATAATGATAATAATAGCTTTGTAGGGCTTATATGAGGCTTAAATGAGGTAATACAAGTGACTTACTTAGCATACAACCTGGCAGAAAGTAATCACCCAATACTGTTACTATTTTTCATTTAGATCAAGTCTCGATAACCTCTAATTTGCCTAAAATTTGTCAACATAGACGTTGTGGTGGACAGTCTTGATAAAGGTTTGAGTTATTATTTATGTTTTATTAGAGAAAGCTCCCTCTTGGAGATGGGGTGACACTAATATATTCAATTCTCTGTACCCCGGGTGAAGTGTAGTGATGAAGTTGCCACAGCTTGCCTAGGGTACCCTCTAATGCTCTCTATCATTTGGCCAATAGAAAAAGGAGAAATATCATCTGATCGATCTATAGGAATTAGCATGTTCTTTGAAATATGTACAAGTCTTTTCTAAGAGTCTCCATTGAAAGCACACAAAAATTATTTTTCTGCATACATTCAATTTTGTTAGATCTTAATATAAGGAAATATAATTTTCTATAAGATTTGAAGAATTGGCATTTTGCACATTACAGAAGACACTGAAACAGAATTAAATTTAAAAGCCATTTTATTCCAAGTAAATGTTACATACTCAATTACATTTTCTCTGTTCAGTTTAAAGTGCATTGGGCTTTAAAGAAATTAGAATTTACTGGATACCTGCATTACTAAAGTGAAAAATAATGCATCATGACTGCTTTTTTTTTAATCATAGAGGGTTTTTTTTTCTGAAATATAACATTTTTCTATATGAAAAACTGGCATTTTTTGTTCCATACCCTACCTACTGATCACTGATGAAATTATCATTTTAATTCTTGAACTCAGTGGTTTGTTGGTTTGGGTTTTTCTGTTTATGGGAGATGAAAACCAACATTGAGATTATAAGAATAACGTTAAGATACAAACTCAGAGCCCATAAGAAAACTTTCTGGGTTATGGACATTTCTCCCTGGGCTTTCCATAAAACGAAAGAAGTTTGTGAAGACTGGTTTTTGAAATATCCTTTGACATTGGATTGTCCTCTCTTGCCCACTTGGTCAGCACAGGTAAATTTAATTTTCTCCTTCCTTTGTTCTGTTATCAACTCTGCAGGCATCTCTTCCACAGAAACCTAATCAGCTTTCTGAGGACCAGTAGGAGAGTATGGCCTTCGCAAAGCTAAAATGGGGAAAACAGCTTGAGAATGTTATGAAGCAAGACAGACTGACGTGAAAGATATTTTCATCTCTGATCACTCGGTGCCAACTCAGGGCAAAGTTAGGAAAACAGTGCATGCTGTAAAGTAATACTGAATGGAACAGGTGAGTCAAGAATGAGGTAAGAGTGGAAAAGTGCGTCAGACACAAAGCCACAGCATTGTGAATCTGCTCTCAATCCTCAGTGGCATTCATTAGCAAATGTTTGTTACTATTTAGTAGTTAAAGAATCTGTGCTACAAATATTTGCATTTTGTGGAGAGCATGCTACCGTGTTTTTAGTACAGAGCTAGGTGGGGAAATGGAATTCAGCTTTTAATTCCAGCCTATCTCACAGTTCACTTATCTCTAGTCCAAGATGTGAGAATAAAGTACTGTGAAAGGAAAGCACAGCAATGTAGGGTCCTTGCTAGGAAGAGTATTTGCTAGCAAGGGCCTTATTTAAAATCATGATAAAATTACTAAGGCACTGTCTATTTTCTGCTTCTATGACAATTTTTCTGTATTGTTGTTTTCTAATAAAAACATCATTCTGTCCCAAAGAGGAGAGTGCTTTAAACTGGAGGGAACCTATGGGCTGGGGGGTTGCTTGGTGGGAGGGAACCCATAGCCCTAGGTTCAATGCCCAGCACCAAACAACAAATGAGAAATTGGCAGGACTCTATGTTATATGTCTTTGATTGTTGATATTGTTGATATTGGTATCAGGTGGTTTTGGATCCGTCTCAAGTTCTTAATTCTTAGTTTTTCCTTTTCATAAATATAAAAATGCACAGTTTTAAAATTTATCTTACATGGCTTTTGTTTTGTTTTGGAATTCCTGAGTGGACATTTTTATTTTTATAAGACAAAATTAACACTAGGGACTCCAAAATACAATAGTATATGTAGCAGTTCATGCCATGAAAACTGACTATTTTGATGAAATACAACTTTAAAAGAAAGAACTGTTTAAAATACTTTTAAGAGTAGTTTATGTGAGTAACACCTTTTTAAAAAATGATTTACCAATATGTGTTAAGCTTTGAAAATGTTATTAGTCTACTCTGGCTACCATGACAAAATACCGTAGACTGGGTGGCTTAAACAACAGAAAGTTTTTTCTCACAGTTCTGGGAGCTGTATGTCACAGAACAGGGGTGAAAAGGAGAGGGAGAGATAGAGTCCTCTTTTTTTAAGATCAGAGTCCTGTTAGATTAGGATGCCATCCTATGACCTGATCTCCAAATGACTCCCATTTCCAGATATAGTCATAATGGGGGTTAGGTCTCCAACACAATTCAGTCTACAACAAGGTCCATAGCCTTTGATCAAGTAAGATTGAAGATTCAACTTCAAGGAATTTTCCCATATTAGTGGAGAAAGTTGAGGGTGGAGAATGAAAGGAGGTAACTAGAAAGTAACCCTAGATAGATGCTTTTATATTCATTATTTATAATTTCAAATGGGGAAATAAATACAATGCTCAAAAATATTAGTAAGTGAGTGTGTTATGTATGGTACACCAAAGAAAATAAGACAGCCAAGCTGGATTTGATGGCTCACACTTGTAACCTCAGCACTCTGGTGGTGAAGAGGGGCTGAGGCAGGAGGATTGCAAATTTGAGTCTTGCCTGGGCAACTTATCAACTTAGCAAGACTGTTTCAAAATGAAAAAAACAAAGAAAGTGCTGGGGATGTAGCTCAGTACAAAAGCCCTTGGTTCAATCCCTTTATTTATGTACTGTGATATCAACTATGTATAATAAATGTACAGATAGGGCCAGGGATTTAGCTCTGTGGTTCCACCACCTGTTCTGCAGGCTCAAGGACCCGAGTTCAATCCCTGGTACCAAAAAAAATAAATAAATAAAAATAAATAAATGTACAGATGCATACAGAAAAACCTTGATTATGTCTGGATAGCAGGAGGGTATATTTTTCAAATTTTTTATAAAAAGCATACATTGTTGATAATACAAAAAATATTTTTTCAGGGCTGGGGATTTAGCTCAGTGGTGGCTTGCCTGCCTTGCAAGCACAAGGTCCTGAGTTCAATCCCCAGTACTGAAAAAAACTTTTTTTTTTCAAAGTGAATGAATATGTCAATATGAGGTAAAGGCAGAACAGAATAGTTACATATCCATTATCTAGGAAACCCATCAAGTATCTTAATATTTTAATGATAAGTTGAATTAAGAGGTTTTGTTTTATTTTGCTTTGCTTTGCTTTGTGGGCTAGGCATATAACTTGTGGCAGAGTATTACCTAGTATATGTGAAGCCCTGGATTCTATTCCTAGCACCACACACACACACACACACACACACACACACACAGTCTTATTTGTGTGTTTCAAGAGTTTATTTTACAGACCAAATGCCATGAATTTGACTTTTCCATCTTTAAATAGTTACATTTCATATTGTAATTTATAGAGGATGGGAACAACATCAGTAAGTAATTTGAATTTTTTAATTTGTGTATCTAATACACATATTTATTCATTTATCCAACATATACTCATCGATCACCTGTTGTGTTCCAGGCATTGTCCTAATCACTGATGTATATACTTCAAAGGATAGAGAAACAATTGGTTTTCATGACATGTAATGTTTGTAAATTCTTTGAAGCATTTTGAAAGAATTAATGGTGTCTAGATCTATGTTGTATTAGATTAATACATTGGTGGGTGAAAACCAGGTGAATGTATTCTGGAGACACAGGCAAGGATTGTGGGCATATCACTTCCTGAGTAAAACCATGAACTATTGGCAAAAGCAGAATTCCATTAGATTTCCAGACTGTCAGCAAGGTAAACTAGGCAGTGCTACAAATCTAAGTAGGGCAAGACAGGAAATTAATGAGCTAAAAAAAAAATCAAACAAGTCTCCAATAAAAGGAAACTAAGGCCCAAGGAAATTTGACATGAAGAGAAGAAAGGTGAAACTGGCATACTTCTCAGAGTCTGGACTTAAGTATTCACCAAAACATTTTTTACATCAAGTGCATGGACTCAAGCCTAAACATGCTGTGATGATAATCACTTTTGGTTTGTGCACATTCAAAACAGTCATAGGCAGCACTATTTCTGGTCCAAATTAAATAATATCTATGTGTAGTTAGAGGAATAATTAAGTTCTGCAATGAGCTTATTTCTCTTTTGTCTTCCTGGACTATTTGATCTATTTACATGGCCTCAACTCTTGCCTCAGTAAAGATAATTCATAAATCTATTACCTTAAAGGCTCAGCATAAATAAATACCCAGACACATCCTACAAATACTAGTGACAAACTGCTGGCTGCCTGCTGGCCATTTCCCTTACTGGTTTATTGTTTGATGTTTGTTTTATAGTGATAGATATCCAACCAAGAGCCTTACACATGCCAGAGAAGCATTCTACCACTGAGCTATATTCCCCAACACCACTCCCTCCTCTCTACTTTTTTGACATCTCAAATTCATATTGTCCCTAAGAGAAATCATCACCTTCCTGGAAATTGCTTACTACCTGCTGACTCTATCTCTTCACAGCACCACCCTAGCACCAGCCATGGCCAAGTCACAGGAGTTCAAAACCACAAAGGGCTAACCAAACCTGGTCTTTAAAAAATACAATTTAGATGACAATGCACTAAGTATTATACGTGTTATATGTATTAAAATGAAATATATACATATATGTAAATTGTCATTAGAGAACCCTAGTGAGCTTACCTCATTAAATATTAATTTCACATAACAAATGTGAAACCTTTGGAGAAATTCGTGATTTGACTTTGACCTGTGTTCCTTAAATAACAAGACTGCTATATAGTCATATTAAAAAAGCACTTGCTTTGTGTAAAAACATACCATGCTTCCTCTATCAAAGTATAACTTCCCAAGCTGACTCTTTTTCCTACCATTTTTTTGATGTGGTATGTTATAATTTCACATGTATGAAAACAAAAAACCACTTCATGTATAAAGTCTGAAGTTCATTTTAACACTTTGCAAAGAAATTACATTTTAGACTTGGTCATGCTACCCTCCACTGTAGAAGGAAGTTTCACAAATATTGTGGAGTGGAGTTTAGTGACAACCAAATAGACTTCTGGGCTTACCTGTGCTGAATATATAAAAGTGCATGCTGGGCACAGGGCAGCAACAGACTTAAATAGGCAGCCGAGAATAAGGTCTCAGTTGGCACACTAGGGTCACACTTAGACACAGCATAGCAAAGCAACCCCTAACCCTGTGGATAGCTATAAGAGGGCTTGTCAGGATGTGCTCAAACAAGAGGCTATGAACTCCCAAGACTGACAGCTTTGCTACACTGATTATCTGGGAGCAGTTATTTGGCCACATGTACTTATTAGCACCTATGTTGAAATGAGATCCTCTAAGGCCAACATTTAACCCATGGTTGCCCCAGAAGGAGCCAGTGCTCCCAGGTGACCCATAGATGTGTTTACTGGGAGGTACACTGATGGTCCCTGGTTTGACAGGAAATTCACAACCCCATAATGATATGGGGCATCTAATCCACATAAAATTACCAGCAACAATGCTTGCAGGTACAGTATTATAAATGACCAGGCAGACCCTTCTCTCCATGCCTGTGTGGTCGCAAATGATGTGGCCTTCATAGAAATGTTCTCAGAGCAGGGCTGAGCCAGGCTACTTTCCAGGCTTCAAAGTTAGTAAGTCTAGGACCTGGCAAAGGTGACTATTGACTTTCTAAATTAAACACATACCTTTAGAATATTATGGCTTCAAGTTGGGCTGCACCATTCTCTCTATACTTTCTATTCTGTTCATAAATAAAAATGGGAAATGTAAAGTTTTCCAGAAGTTTCTTGAGTCAATTCGATTAATTCACTTATTCAACAAGTCTTTGTTAAGTACCTACTATGCACCAAACATTGTACTAAATGCTAAGGAGACAGCAGACAGAAGGGTGTGGTGGCGCACACACCTGTAATCCTAGCTACAGGGGAGGCTGAGGCAGAAGGATTGCAAGTTTGAAGCTGCCTGGGCAATTTAGTAAGACTGTCTCAAAATAAAATAAAGGAGCTGGGGGTGTAGCTCAATGGTAGAGCATTTACTTAGCATGTGCAAGTCCCTGAGTTCAATCCC